TTCAAAATCTGTTTTTCCGTTAACCAGCTGTCGCACCCCTACGAACGACAACCCTCAGAAGTCGAAACTTGTGCGAGCTAAGGATTAACGAGGTCTTACCTTTTAACGTGTGATTCCTAACACGGGAATGCCATCGGAAAACGAATCCACGTGTTTCTATAAATGATATGAAATCGAGAAACATTATTGCAGCAAAGATGCTGAAAAATAATTCGAAGAAAATCAAAAGATGAATAAATTTGTACAATTTAAGAGCCACCGGTAGACTGCTGAAATAGCTATCTCTTAAATTGAAATCAATATGGGAATGATCTGAATAGTACTTATTTATTAATCTTTTGATTTTCATGGAATTATTTTCCACATCCACCATTTTTGAAATCTGAGATCTTTCAGAATTAAATCTATCGTGAAGAAGAAACTAATCGATATTGAATCCTTAATATCCTTAATATATTTTAGCAAATGCTTGTTTTATAGTATGTTTCAACTCCATTCACCATCATTTTTATAAAAAAAATGTGGGAAACTTCCAAAGTAAGGAAGAAAGTAATTACCTGCAATAAACTCTTCACAAAGCAACAAGAGTTTAATGAATAATTACTTTCTTTGTATAAAGGTCTTGGGTTGTCTTTCTGGATTGGTATTTTTTTCTGTAACAATCGAATTTATGATACTTATGCTGAAGGTATTCAAAGTTGTAACCGTTTTCGAGCTGAAAAATATATGGAGTTTTATAATGGTACCTATATTTCATTTAAAAAATATCTAAGTCATACAACACTAGTTCAAGTGTATAGACGTTTGGACAATACGAAATTATATGGAATCGTAAAAATGATTATTCACCATACTATATATGTAGGTACCTGCTTTTAATTTTTGAAAAGTGATTACGACTTGTGCACTCAAATATATCTCACCTCTGTCAATGTGTTTCTTGTCAGAATTAGAGTCCTTTGGGTCCAAAATATTGGAGGTGATGTTCAGAATATTTTTGGCTGGGTTCAATACTTTTGAAGATGCATCTAGGAGGTTTCCAGTGGCAGAATTCAGCACCGAACCATATCCAATACCGGCTAAGATAGCCACAAGAGACGATAGCAAAGCAATCCGCATTTTTGCACCCTGTTTCACAGTGATTCGGAAAGAATGCCGAGTTTGCAACTATGTCCCAATTTATACTTCGTTAAATAATTGAGTGGACAAATTATAATTTTTATTTATTCTTCTTATCAAAATTCAACTATCTATAATTGGCAAAGATATATCTTTGTTTTGACTGATATTTGTTATGTAAAAAACATTATTTTTCTCTTAATTAACTGTCTTGCTATAAAAGTTTCCAAACAGATTTCTACAAAAATTGGACGAGTTTGATGTTGGCAGATCCAAATAGTCATACTTTTTGTAAGCATAGTGAAGTATTTCTCTAGGACCTTTTACTTAGTTTGTGACTGACGATTTGACTTAGAAAGAATAATCACATCTTGCGCACCTTTCTTCTACTTCCCGATGAGAGTTAACCTAGTAGGTTATTTTTTTATTCAGGCCACAGTTTTGAATGCTTTTCAGTATTATAACTGCTTATAAAAATTAATATTTCAAGGCATTGATCATAAGAGAGGTTTCTTAGAGTATAGTTAAGTGATTCTGCCATTCCCGTATCCAGCGGGGCTACGTGGAAGCAGGCATCCGATGGCCGGTTTGCTCAACCCCCACATCCCAAGCCAATGCACTTGCCGAAAACAGCATGCACAGTAGTTCAGGCAGTGAAAGATGAACAAGGACAGATCGCCATTCATAACGTTATTAGAGTTGCGAATATTTACTTAATTTAGGTAATCGTTTTTTTCTTCATTCAATTCTCTTTGTTTAATTTTTAGCATTGCGAATATAATTTTGTATTGTGGGTTACCGTTGGACTATAAAGCTATTATTTTTATTATTATTACTGATCAGGCAATAATCACGTACCTCACGAGGTGGGCCCGAGAATCATGTGCTCTGAGTAAGCGCAGTGAGCCAAGAATGACGGCCTTCTTAGTGCGGCAAGCCGTTATGATTTTGAGATTCGAGAGTAGAGAGGACATCATTCCACCAAGGACTCCAATAATCAGAACAACCATTTTGACAGAGTAGTCTTAATAGAGTCTGCGGAGTTCGAAGAGAAAATCTCGATATTTTATCCGTTTTTCCTCCTCTTTCCAGAGAGGAGCTGAACACTCCACGACAAATATCGTCTTGCTCTGGTGGTCGAGACACCGGTGTCTCGAAAAATACCGTAAGAGTGTCGTTGGAGGTAATTTAGCACTCTTAGGGCCGAGTCATGTCGATGGATATAGACCAAGACCCTGCCCATTGCCCGTTCAACAGGGTATTCCAAGATAACTTGAAAATGTGTACGACTTTAGAGTTTACAGTGTCGGTTGGGGTTTGAACCCAATGATTTGAAGAATCTAAATTTTCCCCCACTGCAACAGCACAATATTTCCCATGTCATCCCTTTAATTCATCTTGGATCCATCAATATACCATACCAATGCTTTAAAAATAATTTCGAAACCATAATTTCCAAATGTTCCGACATTGATTCTAATGGAACCCCACCCAGAATCTTTATATTCACATTACCTATTCAATAGTCATATTATCCATTCATTAGTCAACTACCCACTTGCGCATGTTTGCTGTGTAGTGAATATAAAAAAAATAATAATATCTTTCATTTACCAAGGTAAAAATAGAAAGAGCATGAAAAAATATAATGGGTTTGGTGAAGTCCCGGAGCGGAATTCAGGGACAAGCGTGTGCAACACGCCGAATCCTTCTCTTCCGTTCAACTCCTTTACAATATAAAAAAACTTAGTAATTTCATCAAAAGTATAATGTACAAAAAATTATAGCGCCTATGTAGTAAGAGAAAAAAAAACAAAGAAAAGAAAAAGAATAAAAGAGGGGTAATTCATAATGCTTACATAATGACTTGAATTTTTGCATTTTATGCGAGACTTTAGTTGCATGATAGCTTTTGTAGCTTGAAAATTGGCAGTTTAAATTTTTTTAGGTGTGTGGGAAGACTATTGTAATGAGTGTAGATAGAAAAGCTGAACGATATCTCAAACAGTGCTGTGCTGTGGCGAATATCGAAAGCTTACTTTTTTACACTGATGTGTAATAATGCCGAAATATTTAGCATTTCTTGAAGGATTCATTGCGTTGTGTAGAAAATGCATGTGTGGTTCTCAGATATGTAATGCAAAGCATTTTTGCGCTTTCTGGCGCTGATAATTGCTCGATTTCAAATGGAATTTGTGATAAGTCCATCTACTCTTTTTGGAACTAATTCGACAGATATGTGCAATAATTAAATCAGGCCTAGCAGTGAAAACTGCAGAGAGAATTAGGCGGTCGGCGTCGATGTTGAAACTTGGCTTTGCAACTGACCGCCTCGATATTCGAGGATGGAGATGGCATAATTGTGAAGGGGAGATGTTATAATTCTCATTTATCCAGGCTTGATTTTTAAGGACAGTTAGGTCCAGCAATGCATTTGTTGTTCAGCCAAGCATCACTGACGAGATCTATAGCGGGTCGATACAGAGCTGTCTGATGTTAAATCATAAATGCGTTGTGTTTGGGCACTGGTTTTCAATTTTTTGCCTTGCAGTGAAAGATAGAAGACAATTCTCGTCGGCTGTGGATGAAGAAGTTTGGCTTTGCAACTGACCGCTTTGGGGAGCCTCGTTTATCTTCGATATTCGAGGATTGAGTTCTCTGTAGATCCCATAAATGGTGTCATCGTAAGGGAATATGTTATATTCCTTATTTACTCAGATTTGTTTCTTAACAGTTGAGTCCTGCAATGAATTTGTGCTTCAGCCTTGCACCACTGATGAGACCTACAGCGGGTCGAAACAGCACTGTCTGGTGTTGAATCATGAATGCGTTGTGTTTGGGTTCTGGTTTTCCACCTATCTCGATTATGGTACTAGAAAAAAATGCCATTATTATTAGAATAAGGTATAATGTTCAGGAAATGAATATGTGTTAATCATTTCAATAAGATCAACTTGAGCCATTGAAAACATTTCTGGAAATATACGAATATACGAATACTCGAAATTAACATTTGCTACTTCTACGGCTGCGGCTCATTTATATTCAAGATATTATCTGATGTCACTTGACATTATAGTTTTGATAATTTCTATTCGAACAATTTAATCAATTTCATTTTATCAATGTTATGAACATAACAGTGTATCATAAGGTCGCATTGACAAAGATAATTATAATCATATTGCATTTCAGTAGTCCAACTTTTTTCTCAATTAGCGACCATCAAATCTTTACAAATGTTGTCACTATAAAAACCAAGTGAAAACAAATTACAAAAATACTATTTGTAAAATTTTCGTTTTCATACATTTTATACCAGGTAACATTCGAATGTTGTTTCAATTTATTTTTATTATTCACCAGTTTGATAAATCCTGATTGGTTTTTTCAAAGGTGAGAATTATAATTTTCTAAACGGCATTCGAAATTTAATCCAGTTGAATTTTTAAAAGTGACTTTCAATCCACATGTGAAGACTAACTGAACTATTGCGTACAATTATTAGGTAATTTTTTTGTTTCGTAGGTCGAATCATGGAAGCACCTGATTTTGTAGATTTACTTTCAGAAATACAAATAACTTTTGAAGTTATAATATCTGTTGGAACATGATCCGTTCAATCAACATTGTCCTCATTTTGCAATTTCACGTTTTCATTGTTGTTATTTTCATTGATGAAGTTGCAACGAAACTTTACGTCATGTGTGCGCCTTGCATTAGCAGGATCGATTTCTTTTTTATTACGCTTTTATTAGCTTCACCTGTATGTATGTATGTATGTATGTAAACACGCTTTTATAGCATACGAAAGTAAAAAATGAAAAATAAATATAGTTTAAAAAACTTAAAAACTCGCTTTTAAAAAACATCGAACTAAAAAGTTAAAAATATTAAAAAAAAAGCTTATAACAATAACGAACAAAAATACTAGTGTCATTGTGAAAAAAGCGTGGGCGCTATGTGAGATATTTTTTGTATATCAAGCGCGTTCGTTATTGTTTTAAGCTTATTTAAAAAATATATTTTCAACTTTTCAATTCGATGTTCTGCAAAAGCGTGTTTTTTAGTTTTTTCAAACTATATTTATCAATATATCCAAATGAGTGCCACAGGAAACTCCTTAAGGCGTTCTCAGAGCGGTGCCTGTGCGAAAGCAGCGATTTACATTTGATTTAAATCGCTGGAGATTAAAACCATTAGGAAAAACGTTCCCAGGAAGTTTATTCCATAAAAAACAGTTCTCCAAATGAAAGAGTTCTTAAACAGTGGGGTTCGAGGTGTACAGGTGCACAGGTGCACAGTCCGTCGCGTATTTGTGATATGTACCACTCTTAGTGGAATCAAATGTGCTAAGTGTCTTGAACACTTCCCGTGAAACATCTCCGATGTTCCAGGCTATCAAGGTTGCACGTGATGTTCCCGTCTCCAATAAGGCGCGAGGATGGTTTTTTCCTGGATGAAATTCAGCAACTTCAGGGTATGTTTGGGGGCAGAGCTCCATACATGAGAACAATACTCCAAAGAAGGTTTGATCTAGCTTTATGAAGCATCAAAAGTTGCTGAGGTGTGTACAGTTTTCTGGTTCGGAACAGCGTTCCAAGCTTTTGAGAAACAGCCTTTGCAATTCCAGCGACATGACTGTGCCAAGACATATTGGTGTCCATTTTAACCCCCCAACAAACTTATCGAAGTAGAAAGTGAAATTGTCTGACCTGAAATTATTTTATCCGGTTCGGAGAGAAAACCGATGCCTAGATTTTTGTAGCATTGAATTGAACCTGGTTACTTTCACTCCAATTCGAAATCACTTCTAGAACCTCATTAAGATATGCAAACTCCTGCTGCCGGTGAAGATGTGCTTCCATAGCCGATGTCCTGGAATCCAAATGCCTATAAATTGGAGATAATATAGATCCCTGGGGAACACCAGTGTTGATGGTGAAAGTATTCGAGAGATATCCATCGACGGACACTTGCAGGGAACGGTCTATCAGGAAGCTGAAGAGCCATACACAAAAATGATCCGACAAGCCATAGCATCGAAGTTTGGCCAGCAAACCCTCATGCCACAC